ATACATAAACATACACATACACACACACAATACTCAATGCAATAAGCCAAAGTGTAGGTATGACCATAATAAATGGAAAGAAAAGGATAGACAGAGGGTTGTTTTTTTTTTTTTTTTTTTTTGTTTGTTTTTTTTTTTTGTTTTTAAGTTAATAATAAAAGCTACATTATTTGTACTGCTAGAAACTACACTGCCTTCTTTTCATGCACAGACTTCTGAGCTGCTAAGCATTGTGGTCTGTCAGTATGTCTGGACTACACGGAACACCCTTAAATCTTAATGGCAGTAATAGCTGGGCAGACAGCTTTGCAGAACAGACTCTCTTAAGTGCGTGTCCATTCAATGTCAGTTCATAAGAAGGGTACAGCTCACCTGAGATCTCACCCTGAAGCTTATTTTTATGGCCCGTGAGTTATGGTCTCTTGGGTCAAAATTACTTAATGCTGCACAATCCTTCAATGACTACACCTCAAAATGAGCTCTTCTTCTGACAGAGAGAATAAGGAACATTTGAAAGTTACAGAAAAAGCACATATCCAAGGACATGATGCCTACACAAGGAGGTGGTGCTCCAAGCAGGGAGAAAGGGATTTCGCTCACTGAGTTCACCCCTTGGCTCCCTATAAATTCTCCCAGGTGTTAGAAACACTGCAGAATTTGGAAAATTTTCAAGGGTAACTTGGGAGGTATTTTAAGGCAGAAGTTTTCTTAAAGGACTTGTAGCCATGATAAGGGTTTCACTACAAAAATACGGCAAAAAGACTGGTATGTTTCTGAAGTACGACAAAGAGTTTTTTTCCATTTCTGTTAATGTCAGAGGGGTGATTCACTTTTTCTGGGTGTGCCACCCGGGCATATGCATTTCTATTTAACTATTTGTGACGATTTGTGAGTTGAAGAAGAAAGACAAAATGTTATTGTGAATCAGCGCATTATTTTAGTGTGAATGGGGATGTAAACTGTTTTCATGGGAGGGGAAACTTTCCTCTATATTTTGGATCACTGGAGATAAAAATGGGCATATATGTATTACAATCTTTGATAGTAAGATAATTTGCAAGGGAAATTTTAACACAAAACCCTTTGTGCTCAGGATGGGAAACGAAGCAAGCTAAAGCACTCTGGTCACCAGGTAAAGTGGAGGGAGATGTTTTGTCATTCTGGTCTTGAGGAATAGTAGTTGAATGTGAAACAGTAAGTTTGCTCTACTTCAGCCACAATAAAGCTTGTTGCCTTAGCACTTCATTGTTACCTGCTTTGTTACCTCACTGAAATATTATGGCTATTCTTTATGGAAGAAACCAAAGTGAAAAATTATAAAACCTAACTATCAGTGCACACAACCCTCTCTCTCCCCTTTGCTCCCCACCTTTTGTGATGTGACATAAGAGCAGGATATATGAAAATGCCCTGAAGCTCTTTTTCCTCTTTGACTAAATGTTGTTTATCCAAATTAGCAGCTAACCTTTACTGTTTTCTGGCCTTTTTCCCCCTTCCTCTCACCTCCCTCTGACTAGTCACAAATCTCTCAAGAGTTTATTATTTTAAACACTCTGTGCTGATGCAAGCCAGTGGAGGTCAATCAAAGAAAAGACTGAACAGCAAGACATTTCCCAGGGAGGCTCCAACTTGCTCTCCAGTGAATACAGAGTTCAAGTTGTACTGGCACAGGAATTTAATGGGAGAAAAGATTTCAGGCTATTGCATGGGTTTTAAGAAACAGCCACACCTCATTACTTTCCTTGTTACTACTGCTATGAGATTTTTAGTTTTGGAGCTAGACCTCAGTGAAAGCTCAGGTATTGACAGTGGGGGATAGGAAGCAGTAAGCTCTGGGGAACAGGGAACATGATACTGTTTGAGAGAAGAGAAAGTAGAAAGAGTTTTACTCCTGTTTGCATGTGGTTTGTGACATGTTCTGTTAACCTAGGTGATGACTCTGTGTATGTAATGGAAGTCCTCAGGATGAGTTCAAGCTCATGCTAACTGCCTTGGTGCTGGGCCAAAATCACCATACTTAAGAGGGGATAAATTCTTAATTGTATTTTCTGGGGACCCATCTATCCTTGTGAAAGGGAAACGGATACAACACTTCTCCCAGAGGACCTCTGAACATTCACAATCCTGTAATGGGCTTGTGGGGTGGCCGAGACTAGTGCTCAGAGAAATCTCCTATTTATATCTGTCCCCTCAAATGATACAAGTCCATGTGCCCAAGGACTGTGCCCAGTGGGGCTCCAAGGGAGGGAGCACGGGGTGCAGAACCCACCATAGGCACTCAGATGGCAGGCAAATACATTTCATCTCTACCTCCTCTGGTAGGAGGGCAACAAGTTACTGAGAAACTGTACCAAGCAACATTTGCCTCGTTTTTGCTGTTTGAATGGCAGCTATTCTCTTTCCCTAGTATATTCAGAGTAAGATGAGTCTAAGAGGATGAACAGTGCTTAAAAGGACAGCTTGCTAAAGGTCACCTGACTTCTTTAATTTTTTTTTTTAGAAATTTCCTGTCCAGATGATGAATTCAACTTGGTATTTATTGCTGACTTTAATATGACATCTAGATCTAGCAAGGTAATCTTGGTTATTACAGTATGTCGAGTTACAACTTATCATCATCATACTGTAACAAAATGTGATTGCTGAAGGAATTTTAAGAATGGCTTTTTAATGGATGAGGAAGTGGGCTGTACCCTTGGAATGATGCTATTGAAAACTGGGGACAGTAGCAATATCTATAGTGCAAGGTCAAAAGTCTTTTCATTGGCTTCTGCAGAACCCCCTCCCCTCTTGTTACCAACCATAAATGGTTACAAAAAGGCAATGTGGCATACTTTCCTTATGTTGAATTCACCCTGTGGGCGTGTGTGCGCATAAATACTCAGCGCAAGCAGAGAGGTCTGCTGGGCAAAACAATTGACGTGCCCAATTAAATTTCTGCTTGATCTGAGGTTTAAAATCCTTTGGTAATAAGACTTCAGTACAAATCAACAGAAGGAGCCTGCCACTCTTGTAGACGCAACACTTTTGGGACATATTCATGAAAGACAGAACTGGGGGAATAACAACAATTTTGCAGGATTAGCTAGGTACTTGGCATTTCTAGTTGTTATCTATCCATTTACACGCTTTATTCACTTATTTCCTCTAGAGATCGCTGATCTTCTATGACACTACATTTGGCAGGTGAGAACAAAATTTGCTTTTAGATCAGGCCTGTGTTTCTTCCATTAAAACTACAATGTGTCACTAGAACAATTTAGAACAGTTTAAAAAGTAAGCAATCAAACAATGTTAAGTCATGTCGCATGTTCACAAACATGCTGGAGGGTAAAGAAAGTATCTTTTTCTGGTACAAAGCCGAAAAAAGGCTAAAAGGTGTATGAGATGGAATATCACTATGATCACTGAAGAGCAGACTGCCAGGGACTTGGACTGACTTGTTGCTACATGAAAGCACAAACAAGACCAAGGAAAGAAAACTCAAAAGTCTGCTGAGGTATCAGGGCGCATACGCTGCAGCAATGCTATAGCTGCCTGGGCATTTTTATTTAGCATGTAGGTGTGGCCTCCATCTGCAACAGGTGATTCATTTGCTTGGTACCTTTCCTACAAAAGAGCAGAGGATGGAAACTACATGGTGATAGTGCAGAATACCTTAGCAAGCTTCCACTTGTAAGCGAGCAGATTAGGTATAGGTAGCTTTGCTTTTCATCTATTACAGCTGTTCATCTCATGGCACAAAGCTTTGAACTGGATTCCTGTATGTTTACTCTTCAATATACAGGGAAATTGAGAAACTGGTAAAACAGCATTTCTAGCCTTTGCACAGAGCTTAAGTCCCACTAAACCTCTGCAATGCAGTTAGGTTCCTTTATTTCAGACAGCCTATGAGAGGATGTGAGAACATCCTTGCCATTGTTGTCAGGAGTTTAAGTGCTTTAAAAATATTCTTGTAGCTCTCTGGGCCACATTCTAGGTTCCTGCAGACAAACACAGTATCACTCAGTTGGTGACACAGAACTCTGCTGATTTACATGAGCTGAGAATAAAGTCTGAGATTTTTAATCATGAAAGAAAATAGTCCAGCTCTCTGAATGTAACCTCTGCATATACATTCACAGTCCTGTCATTCTTTACAGCGTAAAAGCTTGCAATCATGTAGGCCAAAAAGACTAAGCTACCTAAGAGCATACAGCAAGGGACTGGTGCGGCTCTGCAAGCTTGTGAGTTTTTACAGGACTTTCTCCAGCTCTGTAGGTGAAAAATGTGAGTAGTGACATAAATGTGAGTAGTGACATAAAGTTTATCTGCAGTAATAGGATAGATTGTTGACTATGTATATTGGGGCATCTGTGGACATTTGTACCAGCTGAGAAAATGAACATGTATATCTGAAATTACTGTTCTTCAGTTTTAAGAGCAAATGACTTTCAAATGGGGGGAAAACCAAAACCAAACAATGCTGTTCACTTCATCCTTCCCTGCTGATACAAGATTGTTTTCTGCACTATACACCATTTTCCAAGTGTTTGTCTCTATTTAGTTGAAATGCCAAAAGTGTCAATCTCCCCTTCTAGAAAGAGTCTATTTCCCAGGTAAATGCTTTTTAAGGTGGAATTCTCAAATGCAATCTACATTGTTTTAATTTTGCTCTCTTCTCATAATGGCTTCCAAAGTCATTACATTTACAGAGAGCAAGGTTACATCAATGCTAGGTTGTGCACCCTTCACTGTGCACCCTTCTGTTTTAAATCTAGACCTAGATCTTCTTTTCATAGGCCTCAAAATGTTACTGTTAACAGACTGTAAAACATTTCCTTTCACTGTTTGTGGACTTAGACCCTGTAACAGAGGTGATTTCTTTTGAAGATTATTTTTAAGACTGGTTTCACACTCTACTTTTGGAAATGGTGCTGTGGAAAAGAAAAAAGGCAAATAATTGTGCAGTAAGGAGAAAGTTATGGTAGTGACTTAACAGGATCAAAGCTGCTCCTCACCTTACGTGTTAATCTTCTCTTTATCTCTCGTTTTTCCTCCTGCTCCTCTTGCTCATTCCGGGCTGTAAAAAATTTACAAGAATCTCAGGCTGCAGACTTATCAGACATCCACAGTATGCAACAAATAAGCCACTCTATCTGCATATGAATGTTTCAGGACTTCTCTGATACACAGCATGCCCCTCTAGGACCGGTGAACCTCCTTGACCCTTAGCTACCATGCTTCTTCACACACATCATAAAAGATCTACACAAGCTTCCTTTCCCTATGCTGGCATGTCTTCATGTGTCACTTTGTCAAAGGGCCAGGCAATGAGTCAGTCCTTCAGAAACCATCATCTAGCCCACAGGTCTGGTGGCCTCATGGGGCTTAGCTATGATATGGCTGGACTCTGAGAGGTCAACAGCTGGTAAAGGAAGACATGCTTTTTTTTTTTTCCTCTACAGAATGAGAATAGAAAGAAAGCTCAGAGTAGGGATGCCAAACAAAACCTGCAACTTCCCATGTCCTGAGCAGAATGAGTTGAGAGTGTTCTACCTTCCTTTGTGAGCCTTCACATCACCCTGTAGGAATGTAAAAGCACATCCTAGGGGAATCTGCTTTCAACATTAGGCCAAAAGATCATGTGCTACAAATTTTTACCAAGACAAACCTCAACCGTTACCACTCAAGAGGGCCATAACATCTGACAACACTACCTCTTCTTCAATTTAGGGACAGGCTGTCATACACATCTTTGTGCTGAACTTTATTGAAAGTCAATAAAATCACAGTTTTCTAGGTACTCATGTCCTCAGTCAGCTAGGTTTCTTTTTTCAGTGTTTCATTGATGTCAGAATTGCTCGTTACTCAAATCAAGCCCATGCACAACAGAGAAGAAAAAAGACAACTCATCTACAGGTAGCCTGTGCCCTGGTGTGATTTGGTTTTCACTCAGGCAGGACAAACTCTCTGAAGGGAAGATACAGACCTCCAAGGCCACTTTGGGGTACAGGGCTTCATCTAAACAGCTCAACTTTGGACTAAATTAAATCCAGGTTCAGAGACTATGTGGGCAAAGTCACAGAGCAGGCAAGAAGGAGGGCTAGCAGCCAGGTTTCTTGCTTCTCAGGACGAGAGTTGACATTCCTTACAAGGTCCATTGTGATTGCCCACTGACTTCATCAGGACTGAGAATTCTTCTCTGAAGCAAAGAGTCTGTCAATGGTATGATGGCTTACAATATGGCTCTAATCTTTAAATGTCATTTTTTCAAACATACTGCTAGCGTTTTCTGAAGGAAGGAAACTGATAATGGAGTAAAAAGATCAAAGACAGTAGGTACTTACAAATGGTTTTTTAAATGGTAACTGGAATACCTACACTGTTAAATATGTTTTTCTCTTTCAATGGTTCCTGTCCCTAGTGGGCTGGACTATCTTCTAGCAATTTCTCTTCCAGCAATTTTGTTCTTCCTTTCGTGTCTCAGAATTGGAGGAGCTGGCATTACAAATACCCACGCACAGGAACAGGGCCATTAATAAATCCTTGTAAGATTAGGCAGAGAGCATGCTAAATGGAGTCCACATGGCATCTGGGCAGAACTGAAAGCATCTGAGGAGTTATGTATAAAATTTAGTAAAGGCAGTTCGTTTTTGTATTTGGCATGCAATGCTTTTCTTTTCTCCTCACTTCTCAGCACAGCCACCCACCTTCAGAGACAGCCAGGCAGGCTGAATATCTGTCAGGTAAAAGCTGGGAACTAGAAATACATTCTCTGTAAATACAAAGTCCTATTTGTTTAATATTAATTAGGGTCTGCTGATCTTGTGAAACTACAGAACTGTTGCTTTTTTTTTGTGTTCAGGAGATGCTTTGTTCCTCTAGGGGTGTGCGGGGACACAATTTTCAGGCCTAAGTGTGAAATGTCCCCCAGTACAGCCCGAGACCATCAGAGACCACCTAACCATCATTTTTGTGAGGAATTTATCTAAGCCTGAATGTACCAGATAGACAAGTGAAGTACTTGTATCCATCACAGAAGTGGTACTGGAGGATCCAGATATTCTTCCTCGTACAGTAATAAGCCCTGTAGGTGTTAACTGCAAAAAGCGCTGTTCAGTCTTCATGCTAACCCTGCAGGTCTAGACCTCTCTGCACTGTGTGCTTTTGATATAAATAAGAGACAGTGGGTGCATTTCAGTGAAGGACCCTTCAAGGTACCATTTCCCCTGCTTTTCGTTTCCTTGCTGTGGCTGCTCATTGCTTCTACCAGTGAGTAGTGGTACTTGTACAGTGGACTCTTTGCCCTTGTAATTCAATAAAGAAAACCAGCTCAAGAGTATCACAGCAGCATGGAGCTAGGAAACGATCACTGCACATATAAAGACTCGACGCATAACTGCATTTTGCTTTGTTTCTTCACATCAGAACTGGCAATAATGTGGGTACACATGCCACAGGAACATCATGGTACTGAACAAGACAACTACATCAAGGAAATTTTAGCTTTAACCGCAGAGGAAATCCTACTTGAGAGCATGCTTTTTTTTTTTTTGGTGTGTTATGAACTGGGCTTTTGCAAACAGCTTGACTTGCTTATGCAGATAATTTATATTCTTATTATTGCACTCCATGTCTCTTTTTCCCTAAGCTCCATGATATTTATCTAATTTTCTTTCTTAGAAATCTACGTGAAAGACATGAAACAATTCTGTATAGAACAGACACTATTTAAATTTACTTGTTCAGAAGTGGAACATTTTTGTGTATTTTTAGATCAATTAAGACTATTTTAATTGTGCGTTCCTTGTCCTGCTGTGCTTCACCAAAAGTTGGGATGTCTTGGAAATACTACATTACTTTTTGCTGTAATTATGAAGTTGTTTGTCTACCAAGACTGAAGTTTTGGGGCAAATCTGTGCTTAGGAAGTAACCATGTTACAAAAATTCCATTTAGGAAATAAAATGTAGTTCTGGATTCAGGGTAATGTTTTCAAACATATCCATGTCATTTAGGAGCCTTTCTTCAATTGATAAGGAAACCGATGTGACTCAGGATAATTCCCCTGAACTACAAGACAACTTAGATCACCTATGTGACTGCAACACTTTGCAGTGTGACCTTTGTGAATCTCTAATGCACCCAGCTTTGGTGATGCTACTTCTCTGCTGATGCTGGTTCAAACACTGCAACCAAAGCAGCTGCCCGAGACCCACTCCGCACTTACCCCAAACTACCGACAGCCACTCTCACCAGTGCCAGGGTTGTGATTACTGGTCACATACCAGTGCCAGGCGCTTCATGACATGTATTGGTTCATGCTGGTGGCCAGAGCCAGGATGACAACACGTGCTGCCCATAGAATTGATCTCTGTCCCCCCTTGCCTGAACGTGGTGTTGAGTCATGTTGCATGCTCCCCCTCTTCCAGCTGTTCTGCAACCCACCTCAAGGCAATCACAACTGGATATGCCACCAATTCCCCTGTTTCTGCCCTCTTGAAGACTGATTTCTCCAGCTGCTGGAATGGGAGGTAGGAATAGATGGTAGCAGTTGTTTGAAGGCACATTATGGACCTACTTAAGGAGACACTATGGTATTTTAAGGTACCAGTCAGGAATACTTTTTTTCTGTATTCACTTTTTTTTTTTTTAATTTCCCTGGAATGATTGATATGCTAACTTTAAAAGAACTTATTTCTTCTGTTCCCTATTTCCAAAGAAGCAACACCTTGATAGACAGTTTGTAGGTTTTTTGTTTGTTGTTGTGTTTTTTTTTTGTTTGTTTTTTACATTCAAACACTTCAATGAGAATAAGAAATTGTCATTTTTTTTTCCTATTCATTCATGAGATTACAAGATTTGTGCAAGAGTCAATCCTGCTTCTCTTGAAACTGGTGGCAATGTATCTAGTAACTTAACTCAGCTCAGGCTCTCTGAATGTTAGTCTATTACTCTTTAAAACATCATTTAATATTTTGAAGGTCTACCAGTAAGTTTTTGGCTGATTTAAAGGAAGAATTTCAGGGGAACATTTCAGGGGAATTATGCCAAGTAACATCAGTTTATTTTTTTAATTAAATAAAAATTCTGCTTAAGTCTTGATAGCTGTGAATGTTTTTAGGAAAATTAATCAAGCCATGCTCTAATGGCTTTACTAACTTATAACATGATGTTCATGCCTGTGTGACAGCAGCATAAAAAGTTTTTTCAGAATGACCCTCTGTTTGGAACAGGACTTGCAAAAAAGATCCAGTGTTTATTTTCATTCCCATGGGCTGTTCATTCATTCACTGACTGTTCATTCACTGACTATGATTTTAATGACTTGTTTCTACAGGTATAAATGTTGCTATAGACTTGCACACTTCTTGCATTTATGATGCACTTTATTGTTATTCATGATGCACATACAGCATAGCTGATGTTTTATAAAACACACACACAATATATATATGAACTAATGCAATCTAGCTGGATTCAGATTAAATTTCAGTAGTATCAGGACTTACGTTTCAGAATGTTCCTCTGCTCCAATTCTTCAGCAGTCGGCCTTTGGCTCAGTCGTCTGCGAAAAAAGCCCGAGATCAGTTTTTGGACCATATCACATCCTTCTCAGCTCACTGTCTTTAAGAGTTATTTTGGGGTGTGAAAGGCAGAGCAGAAAGCACTGACACTGCTCCATTATGTACTTGATAGGTCTGGACCATGTGTGACACAGACCATGTTTCGCTTTCACAGTTTCCTCTTTTTCAACCCATGAAAGACAAGCTATGTTATGTCATCTTAGGCACGGCACTCCCACCCCTATCCCAGGCAGAGCTGCTGAGAGCTAAGCTACACAGATGTCTTCACTTAATTTCCTTCCTCTCATGCCTGCTTCCTGACTCGCACGAGTATTTACAGCTAAAACCCAGCTAACCCTCTGCCTGCCCTCTCGCAAGCCTCTTGACTGTGCCCAGTTTGTTTAAACAGTGTTTGAATATGCAGGTGGTCCACAGAAAAAACAAGGTACAGTTCAGCAGCACCAAGGGCCGAACAATAGCAGCCCTCCTCCTCCACACCGTCACTTCCCTCCTCCTTTCGTGACTTGTATTAAAGTTTAAGATGAACAATCAGCGTGACTTGTAAGTCAACCTGTACAACAGAGTCACCACAAACACAATCTCATTACAGATGGAGGCCCTGAGTGCAGAAACAATGAATATTCTGAATACAAAGCAAGAGAGAGAAGTACAAAGGGGTATTAGGAAAACAAAGAAAACCACTGTGATGACATCAGAAGTCAACACTGTTGGGTCCGCTCCTACTCTGCTCCCAGTCAATATGAGTATTATCAACAGTCCCAGTGACAGGACAGAGCCTTCTCTTCATTCAGACATGGCTGTTAAGAGAAGTTCCCAATCTGGGGTCCTGCTCTCTGTTTACCAACTGCTCGGCCAGTTGGCTCATCAGGTGCCCTGTGAGGTACCAGGTTCTGATAGGAACTGTGATATGAGCACTGGCTGCATGGCTTCCTCTTCTCTGACCAGTGCTTCCTACCCATCAGGGCCCAGAAGAAGCCCGCTGACACTGGGCTGGACAAGGGGTGTCTGACAAAGGCTCCTCAGAATCTCGGTCACCGCTCAGAGCTGTGCACACATCCCCAGCCCTCTTCAGAGCCAGGAGCTCATGTGTGCACCAGTTCAGTACCCCTGCTTCACTCAGAGCAACCTTCTGACAGCCCTCATGCCGTGTATGGTGCATGAGGCTGAAGCACATGACATGTGTAGCAGCCTTACCTCCTGCATGAAGGCAGATGTTTGGGCACCTAATTTTACACATCCTGATGATTTCCACCAGCAGAGATGACACTAGCCACACTGCCTGTGGCACCACTTTGCACCACTGAGACAAAACAGCAGAATATGGCTCTATTCCATCAGAGAATTTGGAGTGACTGGCTGTTTCTTTGCCATGGCAGATCGAACATTTACCTCATTGGAGAAGTGCTGATAGTGGCAGAAACTCAGCCTTAATTCAGAAGTAAAGAATGCCTGCGAAGTACGTTGAAGGGCTATTTCAGTGCTTGCCATTACTGTTCTTAACATAGAGTAGCTGTCGCTTAATGGGATGCTTCACCTCAGTTCTAAGAAGAGATTAAAGCTACCTTATTTCTATCAGCACATGAGAATCAAGGAGAGTAGGTTGCCAAGTTTAGCCCCATTATGTATGTCTGTGGTGTGGGAATAAAAATGTTGTTTTTGCAGAGTTACATTGTTTAGAGGGAAGGAGTGTGCTATTGAGATATCCTTGCAGTGATAAGAAAGCTTAACAGACAACCTTGTAAAATGCAGACAACCAGAATCCTTAGAGCAATTAGGTGGAAATCACTGTGTAAGAAACATTGCCACCTCAAAGAGTATGAAAGTCAAAAGAAATTTGACTTATAACAGGCTGGCAACTGAAAGCTATGTATTGTCTGTGGACCATTGGACAGATTGTGAACTTTGATTACCCAGTCAATGGGGAAACAGAGGAGGGTCCCAGTCCTCGAGAGAAAAAAAAAAAGTATATAAACTGTGTTATGGAACTAGTAGGTGTGCTTCTGCTTGTGGGATGCCCACCATTGCAATTGCGAACAAATTACTACTTCACTGAGATCCTCGCCTGAGCCTAAGTTATTGGCTATGGAGTGTTTCTCACAGTAGGAACTGTACTATGTAAAGTTTTTAATCCAGCACACTGTGACGCTTCTCAAGAGGATATGTCAGAGGAATGTTAAGGACAGACTCCAGACACCCAGCATGCAGCTGTGCTTCTACAGAAACAAATGTAATGCAACAAGCAAAAGGAGACATCAGCCTGAAAAGAAGGCTTCCAAAAAAGTCCTCCCCTTTCCCAAGAAAACGATGATTAAAAAACTCAGCTTGCAGTTCTGGTGAGAATAGTTCACACTGGAGCATTTCAAACAAAAGGCAGAGGTTTTATCTATCCACATGAATGATTTACATAAAAGAGCAAGTCCTCCACATATTTAGTTCCCTGTACCTGCTATGAAGTAGAAGCATTTATACAAAGCTTTGACTTCACTGTGTCATTGCTTCCACACATGAGGATAGGGGTTTTCTCCAAGTATGCTCTCCATATTATATGTTATTCCCCATTCCTGTTCTGCTCAGAGACCTATGGACTGTGGGCTTCTTCCCCAAGACACCCAGTAGGGCCTCTAATGAAAGCTCACCAGAAATACCTGTATTTCCCATTGAGAATCTGTTTATTTTATGATTTATTTTATTATCCGCTTTTTTCAGGCTGCAGTGTGCTCCTGACTAAATGATAACCATCATCTTCAAGGGATATGATGACATGGCAGAAAACGCCATGATATTTTTGATAGATACAGTCTGGATATCTGAAATTATCCACAGTCATGGTTTGTAGATAATTTCTGGACTCTTAGATATGCAAGAATTTTTAATAGCAAGACTTAAACAGTAGGAAGAGATAAGGTAACTGTAGTTTAACAAAATCATGACCAGTCTTTACAGAGCAAGCACAGCTGAAGGGTGAAGAAGGTAATGAACAGAAGCTCCGGAGATGCCTGGACTCCAGTACCAGTGTCTGCTTTTCATTTCCATGAACTGCTTCTCCATTCCCATTTCCATCTCCTATTGGATTGATTAAGCCTGATCGGCTCCTTTATTGAGTCCCTCCCTGATAAGCATATCAGGCAAACCCAACCCCTTCTCCAGCCCTTCCTTTATAAGCTCTCACAATTTTTTATTTTCTTCATCTCCTGCTCTTTCCATTTCATTTCTTCTCCTGCTTTCACAGTGACTTCCACCCCCAAATCTTTGGACTTTACAATCTACTCCACTAACTCCTCAGAACTGCTTCCTTTTAGTTTTTATTTTTTGCCTCTTAACTTTTGGTTTTGCCAGATGTTGGGCAGCTGTTAGCACTACCATTTCTGAAAACATTACAACTAGGTACTGAAACTGCAAATCAAGAAATATAAACAGCTCTTCCTTTGTTACTGTGGCTGCAAAGATACATTTTTTCTCATACCGAATTTCAATATACCATCTCCAGTGCACTGTTGTGATCTTGGAAAATACTAGGTGTGATACCTCCACTCTTTGTCCTTCCCTCCTGTGCTGCCTATAATAAAAATATTAATGAAGCCCACCTAGCTTGCAGAGGTTGATTTCAGTGGTTTGATTGCTGGATTGCTGCTGTGCCTTCTTTCATTTAACATCACAGGGGTTGCATGAGGCTGTCAAGAGGCGAAAGGTCAGGTAACAAGTGTCTAATTAGCAACACAATCAGAATAAACAGGAGAAAAAGGTGAGGAAAATGAGTTGGCAGAACCTGATGCAACAGCAAAGAAAAGATGTGTTTATGAAAACTGTATGAATCAAGTGGCATGCATGGTGCTGCTACTGATCAGAATAGCAACTCTGGTTGTTTTGTGGAGCTGTAGGAGCCTAAGTATCTAACAAAGGAAAATGAAGATCTCAGGAGTAACAGCCATTCAACAGCTCTTTCTGTATTTAAAAACCCTATGTAAACACACTTTACTATATGCGAGCATGCTTAACTGTACCATGCATGTAGTTTTGCAATAAGCATCAGGTATTTGAGAGAATAGGGAAGTCTGCTTCATGTAATTTGTGCTTTGCAAAATGTTGTCTGTTTTATACTTCACATATTTTTGCAATATTGTCAATAGTGGTTTTGTAAATACACTGACAAAGGTTTTCCTCCAAAAAAAAAAACAACCAACAAGCCTTCCTAAGATTTATGCTGATATCAAGTCCTTTCTAGGACTTCACTGAAAAAATAATATTGAAGTGAGATTGTCAGTGAAAAATAAAACAGATTGCTCAGATTTATAAAAATAAAATTCACAGAATGTCCTGGTTTCAGTTAGAACGGAGTTAATTTTCTCCCTAGTAGCTGGTAGAATGCTACGTTTTGGCTTAGGATGAGAAAAGTGCTGATAACACCCTGATGTTTTAATTGTTGCAGAGCAATGTTTATACCAAGCCAAGGACATTTCAGCTTCTTGCTCTGTCCTGCCAATGGGCAGGCTGGGGGTGCAGTAAGAGCTGGGAGGGGACAGACCCAGGACAGATGACCCAAACTAGCCAAAGGGGTATTCCATACCATCTGACGTCATGCTAAACAATATATAGGGGTGGCTAGCCGGGGGAGGGGCGCCGGACTGCTCGGGGTTAGGCTGGGCATCGGTCAGCGGGTGGTGAGCAATTGCATTGTGCATCACTTGTTTGTACACATTATTAGTAGTAGTACTATTATCATCATTGTATTATTATTATTATTATTATTATTATTATTATTATTATTATTATTATTATTATTATTATCCTGTCTTATTAAACTGTCTTTTTCTCAACTCACGGGCTTCACTTTCCATTTCTCTCCCCCGTCCCAGAGAGGGAGGGGGGAGGGTGAGGGAAAGGCTGCGTGGTGTTTAGCTGCTGGCTGGGTTAAACCACGACACAGAATCTTGATTTTCTGAATTAATTCCAAGCATGATCAAAACATACCACATTACTTGTA